TAAAAAAAAAACTAAAAAAAAAAGAAAGAAAACTATAAAAAAAATTAGAAAAATGAATTAATTTTAAAATAAAAAAAAAAAAAAAAAAAATGGTAAACTCAATCAATAAAGATTAAATATTAAACAAATTGAATTTTCTGAAAAATAATCGAATTAACTAATATTAAATATTTTAATAAAATAAAATTTAATATAAATAATTATAATTTAATAAAATAAAAAAAAGAAATTATTAAAGAATTAAATATTGATCGAAAGAAAATCATTTATTTAATATTGATTAATTTTGAATAAAATACTTTTTTTTCTTTAAAACATAAGTCTTATTTATCACCAACACAAAACAAAAACAAAAACAAAAACAAAAAGATAAACGAACATTCAACAAACGAATAGAATATTATTAATATTATCTGTGAGAATCTTAAAATTTATTTTTCGATAAATAATAAATAAAATTATTCCATTGGTTGATCAATAGATTGTTGTTTATCTCCATTAGTATATTTATTTATTTGATCAAATTCATATTGAATAACTTCATTATATATTAATTCTTTCCATTGTTCAACTGTATATTCTCTTTCATCAACTAAATGATTATATTGACCTGGAGTTGCCTAAACATAAGCATTTTTTTTATTATTTAAATAAACAAAAAAGCATATATTTTAACTTACAGCATTTACTTCCGAATCTTCATACCAAACATTAATATATGGATGATTAAGAGCTTCATCAACAGACATTCGTTTTTCCGGATCAATAACTAACATTCGACCAAGAAGATCACGAGCTAATGATGCTAAATTTATTTAAATAATAATTTTTTTTATTTTAAAAATAACAATAAACAAACCTGTTAATTTACTTTGTTCGGAATCAGGTGGAAATAATTGATCAGGAAATAATCTTTCAAGTGAATAACCAGCATATTTTGGTCGATTTTCAACATAATTTCGAACTGTTGGTTGTAAACGACATAAAAATTCTCTTGCTGGTGTTCCTAATTGTTCAATTATTTTATTCCATTGATCAATATCTTTTTAATTTAAAAAAAATTAAATATTTTTATTTGTTAAACAAAAAAAAAAAAAAACATACGATCTGATCCAGGAAAAATAACTTGACCACGAATCATTTCACCAAATATACATCCAACTGACCATATATCAACTAAGAAATAAAAAAAAAAAAAAAAAAACGAATTTTTTATTTAAATAAAATAAAAAACAAAAAATAAAATGAAACCATTTTCTTTATAACCCATTCCAAGAATAACTTCAGGTGCTCTATAATATCTTGTAACAACATAAGGAGTCATCATAAATGATGTACCAGCTGTTCGAGCTAAACCAAAATCAAGAATTTTTAATGTACAATCAGATCTAACAACAATATTTGAAGGTTTTAAATCTCTATGAATAATTCCAGCTGAATGAAGATGTTTTATTCCACATAACATTTGATATAAAAGATAACTTATTCTTTCATGATCTAAATCCATTTGTATAACTTGACAAAGATTTGCATCCATTAATTCCATAATTATATATACATCATTAAATTCATCTATTGTTAATGATGGTGTAAATGCATTTAATAATGATATTATCTTAACAAAACATTTTTAGAATTATTTTCAAAAAAAAAAAACATGAAAAACATGAAAAATAAACATACATTTTTATGATTAACTAATTTCATAATTGAAAATTCTCTAAATGCTCTTTTAGCATGTGTTACATTTTGAAATGGTCGAGATAATTTTTTAATAGCAACATTTGTTTGGGTTATTAAATCAAGAGCTGCACAAACAAAACCTTGAGCTCCACTTCCAATTGGACGAAGATTAACATAACGACGTAATATACGAAATGTTGTATCACCAACTTCAACTGTATAAAATTCTAAATCGGTTTTATTTCCAACATGAATTCCACCTTCCATTATATAATTTACACTTTTTTTTTTAATAAATATATATTTATTTAATAATTTATGTTATAAATGACTAACATATATATATAACGGTCAACTTTTTATTTAAACCAATTGAATTTATTCTTTTTATAGATGTCACTTAATATATATTCTATTTTAATTGGTTAACAATTTTCTATTCATTATTATTTATTTATTTATTTATTCATTCATCTATTTATCGATTTTCATTGAATATTATTGAAAATGTTTAGTGGAAATTGGTTATGTGATCAATCAGATTCGAATTCAAATTCAAATTCAAATTCAAATATATTTATTGAAGAACAACAACAAAATAAAAAAACTCGTTTAGATAATTCAATGAAAAGAGATAATTCATCATCAACTCATACACATGTTCATCATCATCATATACATCATCATCTTGTACTTGATGATCAAACACCTTCAAATTCTAATACAAATTCGAATTCTAATACAAATTCTAATACAAATACAAATACAAATACAAATACAAATACAAATATAAATATAAATACAAATTCAAATTTAAATACAATTCCAAATAATAAAAAACGAAAACATTGTGAAACAATAAATGTTAAAACAACAAATTGTTCAAATGATGGAGATTATCAATTAGTACAAAATGAAGTATTATATTCTATGACAAATTCTTATGAAGTTTTAGAATATTTAGGAAGAGGAACATTTGGACAAGTTGTTAAATGTTGGAAAAAAGGTACTAATGAAGTTGTTGCTATTAAAATATTAAAAAATCATCCATCATATGCACGTCAAGGACAAATTGAAGTATCGATTTTATCACGTCTTGGTCAAGAAAATGCTGATCAATATAATTTAGTTCGAGCTTATGAAGTATTTACACATAAAAATCATACATGTCTTGTTTTTGAAATGCTTGAACAAAATCTTTATGATTATTTAAAACAACAAAAATTTGCTCCACTTCCATTAAAATCTATTAGACCAATTATACAACAAGTTTGTGTTGCTTTATCAAAATTAAAAGAATTATCTCTTATTCATGCTGATACAAAACCAGAAAATATAATGTTATTAGATCCACGTCGACAACCATTTAAAGTTAAATTAATTGATTTTGGTAGTGCATCACCTGTTGAAAAAGCTATACAATCAACTTATCTTCAATCACGTTATTATAGAGCTATTGAAATACTTCTTGGTTTACCATTTAATGAATCTATTGATATGTGGTCACTTGGTTGTGTTATGGCAGAATTATTTCTTGGTTGGCCACTTTATCCTGGTTCATCAGAATATGATCAAATTCGTTATATATCTCAAACACAAGGTTTACCTAATCAAAATATTCTTGAACAAGGACAAAAAACATCAAGATTTTTTCATTTTATTAATTATCAATGGAAATTAAAAACACCTGAACAATATGAAAGAGAAACAGGTATTAAATCAAAAGAAGCAAGAAAATTTATATTTAAAAATATTGATGATATTCAACATATTCATTTAAAACAAGATTTACAATCAAATCAATTACAAGCAGAAAAATTAGATAGACTTTTTTTTGTTGATCTTTTAAAAAAAATGATTCATCTTGATCAAAATTTAAGAATAACACCTAATCAAGCACTTAATCATCCTTTTATTACTATGGATCATCTTGTTGATTATACAAATTGCAATAAGTTAGTTTACTTTTTATTTATTTTATTTTATTTTATTTTATTTTATTTTATTTTATTTTATTTTAGTGTTAGACAAAGTGTTCAAATGATGGAAGTTTGTAAAAAACAAAATAATTTTACTTTTAATCATTTTTCAACTCAAGTATTTAATATAAATAAATAAATAAATAAATAATAATATTGAAATTTTTATTATTTATCTCTTCTTTTTTTTTATTTTCTTAAAGATTCGTCAACCATCAGCAAATGAAATCTTAGTATCATATCCTCTTCCACCAGCAGCTTATTTTATTCCACCATATCAAGGTTAAGAATTTTATTAATTTTTTTTTTTCTAAACAAAATTATTATTTTTATTTATTTAATTTAAATTAATTTAAGTTAGTACACCATTATTTGTTCCTGTTGCTCCAACTGATCGACCATTTTTAATAAATGTAAATAAATAAATAAATAAATAAATAAATAAATAAATATCTTTAAAAAAACTTATATTTAAGAATCCAACATGGAGTCAATTATTAATACCTCCATCATTTGTTGGTTTATTTAATCGTCGTTTAACAACAAATGATTTTCCTTCAACAAATTATCTTCCTCACCAAACATTTCAATTTAATTTAAATCAAAATCAAAATCAAAATCAAAATCAAAATAATAATAATAATAATAATCATCGTCAACGTCCTGTTTCAGTAATAACATTATCTTCTGATGAAGATGATGAACAACCACCACCAAGGTTTTTCCTTAAACTTAACTTAACTTTTTATTTAATTTAAGAAGAAAAGAAAAAAAAACTTGATGAATTGTTTTAGAGTTGCACCACCTCATCCTTCATCATTAAATTTAAATTTAAATTTAAATTTAAATTCAAATTCAAATTCTATTTCAAATAATCGATCAAATATTAAACGAGAACGAATAAGCATTGATCATCGAACACAAGTATCTTTTTTTTAATTTATTTTTTATTTTTTTTTTTAAATTCAAATCAAATATTAACATTTAACAATTTTTCTAAACATATTTTAAAATAATAAGAAAATTTCCGACTAATTTTTCAAATCTTTATAGAAATTGAAAAAAGACAAAATCTATTTGTTGTTATATTATTGATAAATAAATAATATAAGTTAATTAATAATTATATTATTATATTTTAAAACTAGACAAATAATATTTGAATATATATTGATAAATAGAAAGATTTAATAGAATATTTAAAGATTAATATATATATATTTTCGTTTTTAAGAAATAAAAATAGTTGAAAATCTATAATAACAATTTTTATTTAATTCAATTATTATTTATCAATTATAACAAAAAAAAACGAAGGATTTTGTTTTTTTTTTTATTTTTTATTTCAATATAAATTAGAAAATTGACTAAAAATGTAATTTATTTTCTAATAGAGATGTGAAATAAATTAGTTAAGGAAATATAATATTATATAGTAATGTTAACGATTTTATTTATTTCCTAAATAAAATATTTCCGAATGATAAATAAATTAAGTGTTTAGTGACAACTGACACGAGAGAGAAAATAATTTGTTATTATGTCTATAATAAGTTATAGATTTAGTTAATAATTTAATAAAATTAAAATAAATTATTTAGTATGGAATGGGCTCATCATTATATGTTGATCGTTTAAATAGTGGTGAAAATTTGTTAAATGGATTTGTTTCAAATGATGATCGGTAATTTAAATAAAAGAAAAAAAAAAAAAAAAAATTGGTTTATAAATGCCATATATTATATAATTAAATTGTAGATCAATTGAAATGTTAATCTATGCTGGAAATGGTCAAATTAATTGAAATGACATTTTTTGTCTCTACTAGATTTTTTTTTTTTTGTAAATAAAATGATGTTTAATACAAGATATACAAATAAAGAAAAGAAGAAAAGAAAAGAAAAAAAAAAAGTTTTAAGTCACTGTTTAATTGAAGATTCATATTGAATTAATTTCATTTTAAGTTTTTGATTTTCTCTTTTTAAATCTTCAACTTGTTTTTTTAATTGTTCACTTTCTCTTTCTAAAAAATCCGCTCTTAATGCTATTTGATTTTCTTTCATTCGTCGAGCATCACGTGATCTTTTTGCAGCTAAATTATTTTTTCTTCTTCTTGCCCAATATTTTTCATCTTTTAATTCATCTGGAACAAATTGCTAAAAAAATAAAAACAAAATTAAAATTATTATTAAAATTAAAATTAAAATAAAAAAAAAAACAAACTTTTGATTGATGTTGAAGTTTTCGTGATTTTTTATATTGTTTTGTATTTGAATTTTTTGATAAATTATCATCTTGAGAATATTTTCTTGATGAACTTGATGATTGATGACCTATTATTATTATTAATATAAATAAATAAATAAATAAATAAAACAAAAAAAAACTAAGAAAATAAAATGAAAACAAACTAATAGAATCATCTAATGGTGATTTAGCTGGTGCAGCTTGCATTGGTGAATGCATAATAAGTGTATCTTGATTTTGATTTGGTGAATTTGATGTTGTTTGTTCAACATGTTCAAAATGATTTGAAAATGATTCAATATCATTTAAATTTAAATTATTTTCACAAAGAAGTTCATCAATATCAATATTTTCAACTTTAAAATTCGAATTATGTGTTGAATTAAGATTTTTTTCATTATGTAACGTTGTTGATTGTGTTGTTGATGATGTTGATCCTGTTGATGTTGTACCATTATTTGCACTATATAATTGATCTTTATCCCATAAATTTGGACCAAGAAATGCTGAAGAATTCCAAGCGACTTTTGATGCTAACTCATTTGATAATAATTGTTTATCAGATTTTACTAAATAATATTTAAAAACAAAACAAATTATTTTAAAAATAAAAAAAAAAAAAAAACAAAGAATAAATAATATAAAGTCCTACATTGATCATCATCTTCGAAAAGAGGAAAATTCTTAAATAAAATATCAGCCAATTCAGTATTTTCTAATAAACATTTTAATGTTGATGTTGGAAAATTTGTCGAACTATTTAACATGTTTCAAATGACTCGTTTTTTTGTTTTCTTTTTGTTTTTCTTTTCTATTTAAATGAATAAAATAGAAATAAACTATTATTCTTGTTTTTTTTTCTTTCCGAGAAGAGTACAAAGTGCAAATTAAGAAAGAACGAGAAAGAAAATCTTATTTTGTCGTTAATATACGCGCATTTCTTTAATAACGAATAAAAACAAAAATCTTTCAATACCTTTCCTTTAAGGATAGACATTTTAAATACTTACAATCAACATTATTTTGTATTTGCTGTTGCTGTTGCTGCTGCTGCTGCTGTTGTTGTTGTTGTTGTTGTTGCTGTTGTTGTTGTTGATATGAATAATGTTGATTTCTTTGTTGATGTGAATGAATTGATGAATAATTTGAATGTTGAGAATAAAAAGGTACTTGTTGATGATGAATTGAATTTCCATAGATTTGTTGAACTTGTTTTATTCCAACATTATTTGCAACATATGTTGAACCTACAAATCCATAATGCGGATGCATCATTCACACTAACTACGTTCAACGACGCAGTTACGTATTATTTTCGTAATGTTGTTGTTGGACGAGCATCGTTCACTGCCCTCGACAAGAGAGAGAGAGAGACAGAGAGAGAGAGAAAAAGGAAAAAAAGAGAAAAAGCAGTTGGTGTTCCCTTAGCTGCAACAATTGTACCCGTTGCGATGGTCGATATAACGTCGTCCATCGGTCGCGGCTTTTTTTTTCTTTCTTGTTTCTTTCTTTGTATTGAGCTCGACCGATAGAGAAAAAGAAAAAGAAAAAGAAAAAAGAAGAATTATGAAATGTTTATGACCGATTCTCTCTCTGACGTCAAAAGAAGGTTTGTTGAATTTAGTATATATGTGCCCGTTTGTTGACCTATGTTTCTTTCCTGTGTTCTCTAAAATATGTTGCGTCGTCGTCGTTGTGTGTGTGTGTGTGTGTGTAATGTCCACAATTATTATCGAACTCTGACTCGACCGACCGTTCTTAAGGGTCGTCACTTTTTTTATTCTACCAATAGAGTTTTTGCTCTGATCAGAACAATTCTTTGTTTCTTTCTTTGTTTCTTAACATATATTTCGATATTTTTCAATATTAACTATTTATCAAAATAAGACTTTGTTTTAAATTTCTTTTTAAATTTTTGTTTTGTTTTTTATTTTCTTACTAAAAATAAATCTTATGAAATTTAATAAAACATAAAACATAAAATTAGAATTTATTTTCTTAAAAAATTTTTAAAAATAAAACAAAAACAAAAAAAAAAAACAAAAAATTGTATTGATTAATGAAAAATGTTTTTATTAAAAGACGAATAAATAATAAAAATTTCTCTTTATTCTAGTTAAAAATAATATTTTATTTAAAGATTAGTTTTAAATCTGCAAAGTTGAACAAATAAAAAAATGATTAATTAAAATGTTTATTAAATAAATAAATAAAAAAAAAAATCTATAGAAAGAATATCGATATTATATTGTTTATTTTAATATTTTCAGAAAATTAATTATAATTTAATTAAATTTAATAGATATTTGATAATTATTCTTTTATTATTTATTCATATTTGTAAATTATTTAATAATTATATTATATTCAGAAAAATTTTGACTATAGACAAAAAAAAACAAAAGAAAGTTTTTGGTTTTTTTTTCTTTTATAAATTTAATTATATTAAGATATTCTTATAGATTATGATTAAAGAAATATTTAATAATAAATGAAAATATATATATATATTTCAATGAGCTAGATCGAAATCATCTAGTCGGATCTTATCAAATTCGACTATTTCGAATAATCGATATCATTTTACTCAATCATCAGTTTACTTTTCAAAGTAATCTTCTTCCATCTTTAGCATTTTATGGAACTAATGTATTTTTTCAAAGAAAATAGTGAGTAGACGTTTAAAATTGGGATTTTTTTCGGATCTCTCGCCACTTTTCCTAGGTCCTATAAATCAGATGACGGTAAACCAAAGACTATCATATTTATTTTCATAGACAAGGGATGAGAAGGAGGAAAAATCAAACAAAATATTATTGAATAGGTTTTCATAGCAACGAGAAAAGTGTGCGTAAGCAATAACAATGTTTAGATGATTATGGAACTGTCTAGATTGGAACTATTCTAAATATTTTAGAGTTTTAATTTTTAATGCAATGAAAAAATCTTATTGTAGATGTAAATCAATAAGCCAATGGTATTATTGATCTATTAAAGTTATAATAAGACGAAAATAGAAAAAATAAAAAAGAACTAATTCAATAATATATTTAGATAAAAGTTCATAATGTATGTTAAAGTTTATTGAAAGAAGAAATAGTATGCTAGAAAACTTAGGAAATGATTAAATAATATCGTCTATATATATAATTAAAATGAGAAAATAATTTATGTATTGAAGATTATATGACAATAATATAATAAGTTTTTATAGTATAATCATGTTAAATGAATAAAATAAATATTTTGAATAGAAATTCTAAATAATAATATTTTCGAAATGATTAAATTTGAGATCACAGAGCACAGAGCACAGATCATAGAGCACAGAGCATAGACATATCAACTATAAAAATTTTTCTAATTTTAATTTATTCACATGATTAAGCATATTTGAAATAAATTATTTTAACCTCTTTGACAATATATCATAAATTAATAACAATCAGAATTTGTCAGTTTCATATTTTGATTCATTATGGGACCTCACTGACAAGTTTTTTATATTTATTTATTTATTTTTTTTTTTGTTATTTAGAATTATTATTCAAAATTCAATTTAGTAAATTAGTAAGTTAAAATAAAATATTTTTATTTGTTTTATATTTATTATTTTGATTTACTATACAATTGTTCATTCTTCTATGAGAAATTGATATAATCTATTTTTAATTTTAATTATTCAACATTTGCATAAAGTAATAACGTAAAAAAAATATTTTTATCTGCTTTACAATCGTTATATAGTTTAATAAGTCAATATCTGAAATAAACAATTTCTATAAACATAATTGTTTGATTGTTTTTTCTATATTTTCTATTTTGATTTATTATTGAAGATTCGATTTTAATAATGATTTTATATTTTAGCATTTTTTTCATATTTTTTTCTTTATATGCCTTATTCAACAAGAAATGTTGTAGTAGATTGAAATAAAATATATTTTATTTTATTTTTCAATCTATTTTATGACATTATCATTTAATATTTTAACTTAATCTTATTTTTTATTTAGATTTATTGATCGAAATTTCAATATAATGATAAGTCAAATACAATATTAGAATTTTTTTTTATTGTTATTCTTTATTTATAATTTATAATTTGATATCTGCATCTATAGGTAAGTTAAAATGGAAGTTTTATTTGTTTTCTAACATCTTTTTTATATTTACTATTTAGAATACATGGGCAATTTGCAATCTCATTCTACCATTGTAACTATTATTATCCGGCAAAAAATCAACTTTTTGTCGTATGTAATTCTCAAGCTATGGATGATAAAAGGATTAACATCCTGATTTTTTGGGGCACCTATCGATTAAAAGTAGGATTTTTTTTTATCATATTCTGTTTTTACTTTTAATTTGATTTTTTTACCACTTTATACAGGATACTTTGAGCGTTCAGAAAATATCAATGATCTGCTGCAACATTACATTTTTTTTCGATACATTTTGATGACTTTTTTGAGTTGACAGAAACATTTTGATGTATTTGTCCCACAAGATTAAAAACATAGCTGGGAACAAACGGATTCATATAAAAAATAGGAAATGGTCTCAAATGATAGAAATGTACTGGTGCTATCTTTTGACAAAAAGATTTCTTTATATTTACCAAATCATGAATAAAATCAGTTATTCCTTATCAATCGATTCCTCTTTAAAGACAATATCCAACATTATTGAGAGCGAGGAACAGAAGTACTCTTCGATGGCAGGAAGTTGTTGTTTTTCTCCACCGAAAATTTATGTTGATCTATATAGTCTCGTCTGCAGTGCACATACCGTGTTTGCTTATAGAAGTTAGTGTAGTGGCGAAACGGTGATGCAACACGTGCTTTGGAATCCGTCTCACCGAAATCCATTAAGCTATATGTTACAATTTTAGTTTATATTGATTGTTAATGATCTCCAGAAAAATGATCTCGAGGATTATAACGGTTTCTCACAACTTCCGTATCCCCAATCGTCTTCATAGTGATATTCCGATAATTTCTTTTTCTGCTCTCTCCTAACTTATAGGAAAAATATCGGCAGGTCAAAACAGTTTAATTTAAAACTTTGTTTCGAGCTCTTTTTCATAAATGGTACACTGAGATTACAAATCGCTCATATAATTATCCTTTTGTTCTTTTTATTTGTTAGTCAAAAATTGAATATAATACTAAATAAAAATACATTAAAATGTACACTGTTAATTTTTTTTCTAATTCTACGTTAAGAGTGAAATGGTTAATAATATAAACACCATAGAGCGGGTTGCAAACAGTATCTAGCATCCAGATGTAAATCTGCAGTGATCCTATTGGATCTTGGACGCATCTTATGATTCTCAGCTATCGGGTTCGACTGTCCGAACCCTGTGTCAAAGAATCCTACTGTTTCTGACAGAATCCTATTGGAAATTGTCGAATTTCTGTCGGAAATAATCGAGCTATTTGGGATATCCTATAAGATTCGACGGTATCTGAGTTCGAATTCTTCGACTTGGGGAGAAATAAATGTGTTTATGCATCTATAGCCAATATCTTATTTTCAAGTATTCGTATTGCTATTGAGCCATTCCATAATTAGTATCGATGAAAATTAATAAACTAGTTTTTGTAAGAAAAAGTTTATTGATTGCTACCTACGCACAAGGAAACCATCCGAGATGATATCTCATGTTTGCGATGAAATCCAGTCATGACGTAGGGCTTATTGAGACTAGAAGAAAGCTAAAATGATTCCTTCCCATGCACTATTTTTTTAGAATTACGGCCGTTCCACTGAAATTTTTACCTGTGGCATGGTACTTCTTAAAAAATGACTTAAAACTTTCTCCATAGACAATTCTTGAAGTTTTTATAATCTCCTAAAAATTCCCGCCAAAAATAATGGTCTCTTCTCGAGATATTAAATCCACAAAGAAACTGATGATATTCCATCAAACGGGCGAAACATCTAGTTTTGTCGAGAATTTAATATTTCGAGAAGAGATCATTCTTTTTGGCTGGAATTTTTAGAAGATTCTAACGCCTTGAAGAGTTGCCTATGAAGGAAGTTTTAGGTTGTTTTTTTATAAGTACCATGCAACAGGTAAAAAGTACAGTGTAACGGCCGTAACTTCAAAACAACAATGCATGGATAGAAATCCTTCTAGGTTTCTTCTAGTTTCAATAGGCCTTATGTAATGACTGAGATCTTATATGAAATGTGAGATGTCACCTCGAATGGCTCTCTCATTAGGGCATACCAAAAGTAACAAGATTTTCTAGAAAAAAAAA